ACCTTCAATATGTTTTCCCGGAATGAAAGATCCCAGGTGTATTCATCCGGGCAGGTAGAGGTTTTTTCACTCTCAGGAAAGCGCAGATGAGCAGCTCAGCACACGAAGCCCGCGGGCCTGCTGCCAGGAGTCCGGTCTGCACGTTCTTGACCCGGGAGGTCCTAGTTAACGGTCCGGGAGCGCTGGCGGCCATCCACAGCTTCAGCCTGGTTGATGGAACCACTGGTCCTCACTGCCGGCTCTCTTTCCTGCTGGAGCTGGCTCTGCTGGGAATACTCCTCATACCACTCCTGAAACACGGCACGGGACACAGGGCACACAGCGTGACTGCTGAGACAGGCCACCCCAAAGCAGAGGCGCCGATCATCTCGAGAGCAGCTTCATTTCTCCATATCCGAACTCCCCTCTGAAACCATCCATCCAGCTATCTAATACAGGGCTGTGAGGGGAGCCGGAGCCGGCTGGGAACAGGCACATGACAGGACCACCCTGGACAGGACGCCAGGCTACCGCAGGACACGCACACTCACACCAGGGCCAGCTCTCCCCGACACCAGTGGGAGGAAAGCCCCACAAACATTGAGAGAACCAGCACCACAGTCCCTGAGCCCGGGGGCGCAGGGGTCTGAGGCAGAGATGCTACCACCGCACCACTGAAGCCAAACATTACAAAAATAACATGGGAGATGAACGCACACTAGGTGTAATAGTGGAATACTTCAATTCTGCAGGGAGGTAGTGGTTGTGATAACAGTTGCAAGACTCTTAAGATTCCCTAGCTGCTTGCTCAGGGTCAGTTCACACAGTCAGTGCTGCCCTGCCCGTGTGATAACCCCCCACACCCCTCACACCCTACCTGGATCTCCTCCTCGTACATGGTCATGCTCAGATCGCTCTTCGTGCGGGAGCGCCTGCCCAGGAACACCAGAGGCTCGTGCTGCAGGGGGCAGGAGAGAGAGGGCCACGCTGAGAGCCGGCTGGATTCTGTCTGGCTCTGCTTCCCGTTGGACGCACAATAAAACAGCGAGCAACAGGCCACAGCAGAACAGGGCTACAATTAATTTCTTCATTAACAAAACTGAGGTCTACACCCTGGGCTTCCTCAGAGACTGTCCAGGGGTACCCCAGAAATAAAGGGGTGCTGTTCCCTCCCCCTGGTGGAGTGGCTTTAAAGTTGTAAAGAGTGTAAAACTCAACACTCAAAGAGCACTGGCAAATCTGCAGTTCTGATTTTAAAGAGCAATAATGGCATTTTTCCATTATATCAAACTGAAATATACATTTGGTGTTAACTGGGTCGTCCTTTTTGGGAGAAAATTCTTGAAAACTGGTCCCCAGGCAGAAAAGACTGAAAACCTCTGCACTATAACAATGACTGTTGCACTTACAGAACACAGGCTGTAACAGTGCAAAGAAGAAAGCCGCAGTCTGGTCATTCTTTGCCCCAGAAAGCCACAATCCAGTAATTTTTATAGATCACTCTAAATAACCTTTTTCTAATGATTGAACAAATTACTGGTTTTAATGATTAATAATTTACATGTGTTGCCAATTAATAAACCTCTGGTCACCCAGGATTAAAGAGTGTTTAAGTACCAATCAGCCGGCCTGTGTGTAAGGGAGGTGGGATACATGCATGGGTGTCAGGACTGAGCTCTCACCCCACTGCGCTCCATATTCAACAGCACCCCCTGCAGGGAAGACTGGACAGATGCCCCAGGGCAGGTCTTCTTGTACAGCTCCACAGTAGCCAACACCTCCACTCTCGTCACCTCTGCCTCGAACACGATGCCGTTCTCACCTGTGGAGGGAGAGACACACCGTCACCTCGGCGCTCAACCACACCCACGACTGCGCCGTGGCTCTTCTCCTTCCAGCTGGCCACGCGTATTCCCAGAGCCACCCTTCCGCTTCAGGAGTTAGGAAAAGCCAGCCCGTTTCCCGTTTCAGTGATTCAATTACTAAAGCAGAGTGTTGGTACCATGTTTTTATAAATTGCTGTCTCTCAAGAACCAATAACTGAAGGCACTGCCCTGGCTCATTAAAAGCCCTTCACAGGTTTATCCAGAGACCAACAATAAAATCTCTCTGCCTAACCAATTCTCACAACGTCCATTCCTCAGGATGTACTGTCTTTGTAAGGATATCTTCTCGCATGGTCTTCACAAATACAGTCTTCCCTGACCTTCTGGGTCGTCCACAGGCGCACGGTTCTTGCGGCTGTAGTTCATTCTGAAGACAAAGGCGTCCAGAATGAAGGCCACGATGATGGTCATCACTACCTGCGTCAGGCAGAAAGACAGGTGTGTTACACCTCCGGACATCGGTCTCCCACCTCAGCCAGCGTCAGTAAATCAGCAGGGCTAAATACCCCGGTGCAAGTGACTCCTTCTGTACAGCAATTTCGCCAAATGCTTTTAAAACGTTGCTACCTTTACAAAAGAAAATGGGAATCGTGTACAACTGAAGCATGCGTCATGTCAGAGAGGAAAAGCTGCAGTCGGGTTTGGCTCAATGCATTTTCTGAGAAGCAGGCAGTTTACCCAGCTTCTGAGAGGCATGTTAGCATTTAGCTCCAACACAGAAGTAAAACGGAAGTTTGCAAGTGTATGTCTTTCCCCTCAGAAGAATTGTAAAAAGACTGTTTATTCACGAGCTTGCGGCTGAGCTTACCATGGTCACAATGTAGAAGGTCATGAAGTACAGACGACTCCAGTGTGTTGTTTGAGACGTTACCCCTTCCTGAAGGGAACAGTACAGAGGAGTCAGGAACACAGGCCATGACGGGGACATGACCTATTACAGCCAGACTGAAGGAGCTCCAACAGTTAAGTCTGAGTTACGAAGCTTCTTAAAGGGAATAAGAAAGACTAACTATAGTAATATCAAGGCCTACAGTGTATGGAACACAAATGACTAAGTGGAAATTCTGAAAGTAAGAGTTTGTGATGAGTTAATAAAAAAAAACTCAAGAAAAAAAAAACAAAAGGAAAAAAAAAAATTTAATTTAATTTTTTCAGAATTCAGCATACAAGAAAATGATTAGTTCTGATGAGCTGATGGCCTATTCTCATCACAATGGTGAAAGAACAATAAGACTTGGCTTTTAGACTACAGTTGATGAGCAGGTTCCTTTTTTCTGTCTACTGCAACAAACGTATGAGTTTCTAATAATTATTAATCATTACCTAGTGGAGCACATCTTTAACGAAATGAGCAAGACCTCATCATCTATGATGCTTCACACTCACCATAGTTATGTACCAGTTGTTGACAACAGTCAGCTCAAACAGTGTCACTGAAAGAAAGGATAACAGCAAAAAATGTTTTTCATTTCAACACAAAGGACTTGCTAAGCAGGACATGAAACAACTCAGATCAGGAAACAATGAAATACAGCATTACTGTTACCACACGAAGGCTTGGATGGAGTAGAAGAATTTGACAAACTAGTCTGATGTACATGTACATTTTGTCATGATCTTGTCTTGATCTTGTCTGACACCAACCTAAATCTATGAGGCACAATGCAAAGATCTGTATAGAATCTTCACTCATCTTTTTAAAACAACTGAGGCCATCTAGCAAGTTGATCACCTAGGGATTTCAATTTAATTACCTTTGGCCTAAACGCAAGTTGAGAATGATGACTGCATTTATACCTGATCTTTCTGTATCAAGAGCCAGAATAATACTAGAATTATTGCCAGTGAAATTTGCCATCTACAGTATGTGATCAGCGCTGAATATCACAGTCTTACCAGAAAAAAAAACAACTTTCAGATTAAAATGATACAGTACAAGTATTAAATTAAATTTAACACATAGATCAGTTATGACATCAATTATATAATATATGCCTCTCTCCTCTTGTTTCCTAGTTCTCTCTCATGGGTAATGGAGGTGTGAGTTAGTCAAGTCTCGTTGTGGTTCTTTCTGGGATGTTTCAGTTCTAGGAAAGAGTGACCCATCAAGCACAGACGTGTCCATACATTGTGTTGTTACCTCCCTCATTCCTTAGTCCTGTGAACAGCAGGAATTCCATATTTACATCTACAGTATGTATTAAGGGTCTGCCAACCAACGGGATGCTTTTGAATTAAAAAATGAATAAAATTTTTCATTGAAAAAATAAATTCAGCTGAAGGGCAAGAGGTCAGGTAGTCACTCTGCTCATCCACTGAAAAACCCAGAGTGATCAATCACACCCCTTGGCATCTTTAACCCTACCAAAGCTGCTGAGAATGTTGTTGAAGTTGTTGAGATAGTAGTAGCCTTCATCCAGCACAGTCCGGTTGCCCACAGTGATGCTGACCTGCCGATAGGAGTCGGCCACAGTGCTGTTGCTAAGAGACAAAACGGGTCTATTAGGATGTATTTAGGCTTGGGATTTTGTGAGCTAACCAATTGCTTCTAAATAATATGGTGAGCAATACTGCAGAAAGAGTTGGAAAACCTATTTATTCCTCTGTAATAAAAAATCAAACATGCATGTATAAATGTATTCATTACTGCTTCCAAAGCAGCCCAGTTATCCCCAGTGCCATATGTGCACACGAACAGGACTGGGAGTGGAAGAACCATCTGCAGCGATCAGCAAAAATCTCCACAGTTCAAGCATTTTGAAAGCTGAATCTTTGTATGATATGAGCAGAGCAACATGGACCACCACTGCAATTTTCTGATGTCTCAATCAACAACTGTGGAAGAACAAAACCAAGGATTGGGACAACTGGCAGCAGAACTAGGTAAATAACTGGGTTTAAAATAAAAAAAACTAGCTTTATTAATGATCTTACACGCAGCAGTTTGGGTAGACAACACCAGCGAAGAACTCCATCCCCACAATGGCAAAGGAGTAGTAGAAAATGATGAGGGTCAGTCCCAGACTGCAGATAAAAACACAGACACCAGAGATCACCACCAGCCTGATGATGAAATGCCATAGAGCAGGGCACTTTAAAATGAGTCTCGACACAATCCCACAGGGATGTTAAGTACATCAAAAACCAGTGGGTGGTCTTTGTAGTACATTTACTTTGAATGAACACTTGTGAGCTGTAAGGCTCTCTGATTAAAAAAGGACAGATAACCACTCAACAGGCTCTTGCTGACTGTCCTCATGTTCCTGAGGCATTCTTATCTGTCTCTAAGCAAACAGCAGTCTAGACAGAATGGGTGAATATTAACAGCTATGAGAAAAGTATGAATATTGACTGACAACTGGCATTAATCAGATTTCCAAGTTGAGATTAGCTGGATCAATACAATTAAGAGTAACAAAGTACTGCAATTTACTTTACAACACAGATGGAGAAATGTAGAATTTTAAATTCTGGAATTCCAGTGCTGGTTATAATTATTAAGTCAGATACATTTGACCAAATCTGATTTCTATATTAAATATGTCAGCTCAAGATATTACAAGAATGGTATGTTCCGCTGGAAAGGTCCATCTTGTCTAATGTAGGGGGAATAGCTCAGAGGTGTGTGTCCCCTGATTCCTGAGGACTGCAGGTACACACCAGGCCTATAGGCATACACACCAGTATAAAGTCCAGTGCTGTCCAGAATACTATAAGTCTTACATGAAGAAAGTCACAAGTGTGGTGTTGAGGGTCAGACTCCCTCTCTTGGTGAGAAAGACAATTCTGCACCCAGCTCCTACATCATGACAGCCTGCCAGCGTGGGACTTTCCCAGCTATATACCTGTAATATAAACTTTCTCTGTTGGTCTGAAAATAGATCAACAGCAGATTGTCTAAATTGTCTATTTCCAGCCTTTTTCCATTGTGAAACACGGGTGGATCCATATGAAGTGTAGGACTGTTCACAGTGCCCCTGAAGGTTACCTGGCCATTCTGGGAAACAGCTCAAACATGGTATCCAGGACGTTACGGTACCTCTGCTTGATCTTAAACAGCCTGAAACAGAAGAACACGGCAAAAAATCAAATTTCAAAACACACAAGAAACATCCTTGTCACCCAGCCCTCTAAATGAGCACATTTACCCCTTCAGCTCCTCGGGAGACTTCAGCTTGTTCACTTTTGCATTTAGTGAGATAAAAGAGAGGAATCGAGTAATTCTCATATCCAGTCAGACAGCTCTTCTTCACTGTCCTCCAAACAACAAGGTTTCTTGGTGTGAGTGTAGAGCAGAGCCTGCTGAGAGTCTGCCAGGATACAGTAGCCCGCTCTCCTGCTCTGCCTGAGCTCGCCTGCACACACTGTGGTGAGAGGGAAGAGCAGGCGGGGTAGACCGGCCTCACCTGAGCAGCTGCAGTGGCCTGAGCACCACAATGAAGTAGAAGGGCTCCATATCAAACGCCAGGACGAGGAGGCCCAGAAAGGCAAAGACTGTGACTGAGAAGTCAAACCTGGGGGGACACACAGCATAAGATCATCAGAAAACAGACTCCTGCCAAAGACCCCACAGACCCCTCATAGAGCTGATGTCCAGGCTGGTGCCACTTGAGGTTTTCAGTTCCCATTCCAAAAATCCATTCCCAATCCCCAGCAGAACTGGCAACTGATTTGTACAAACCAACTGGAACGGAAAATGAGGACCTGTTCCTGCTCTTGGGTAGGAGTATTAAGGAAGTCCTGTAGCTGGAACCAGGATCAGTAAACAGTTTCTGGAGTGACAAAGGGATCATCGTTATCCACAGAGCTGTGGGCGTGTGGAACCCATTCAATCTGACTACCTGGGGTTTACTAAAATCCAGCCACTGAACTCCCAATAGGAATAGGAATATTGTTCAATATTTTGCATCACCTTAGTTGCAAGTATTAGGAAGGACACTTAAAATGTCTTTAATACTTACAGGTTCCATCCAGAGCTGAAGTATTCTAGGGGTCCCAGTCCTGAGATTTTTAACAGCATCTCCACACCATAAACTGGCAGAGAAAGAAACTCGAGAGGTTCATCTAGTCTCGTCTTGTCTTACAGTGACCTCTAGAGGCTGGAAGGGGTCTTGCACCACTGAAGCGTGTTAGTGATAACTCCTCTAGAGGGCGCCTCGTCAGGTGCCAACACTAACAAAGTCTGAAACCTCACAGACAGTGAAGACGTCGATTTTTAAAATCAGCAGAATTTGATCTTTCACACAGCTCTCATTTATTAGGCTTTCAAGTTGATTCTAAGTATTCTCAGGCAGAAATGAGAAGAATAGCACAGATAGGCAGATGTTTTAACACTGAGCAAAAAAAGGGGAAAAGAATAAATAATTCAATGATACAACAAATATTCAGATGCCTCATGTTTTGATGGTTAAAAAGTGAACTTACTTGTGAGGAAAAAAATGTAGCTCCAGGGCACTAATTTGGACAAGGAGAATCCACCTAGAGTCAGGCGAAAGGAAGAGCTGTCATGACCTGCACTTGTAGCACAACAGCTTCCTGCACACTTTGGGCGACACAAGCTGAAGAAGCTACGCCAAGCGAAAGCAGGATTGAGATTATTCTTTTCACCTTAACAAAAGGTTAAAAAATGGACTACATGAATTACTGATACTGTAAGTATAGCGCTCAGACTGTACACTGAGTGCGGACCTTTACTGGCTCAGACACTTTGGAGCTTTGCATTGTTTTTTATCTGATGTAAGACTATTTTCATGCAGTAAATAATGTAGAAACAGCAAAAGGTGTAGGCCCTGATACTGATATACTGATTTAGGTGAAACGGCTTTAATGAAACAACAGTACCACACTCTCTGGATATATCCACAAGGAACAATCGTGCACGGCAAAAAAAAATAGTGATATTTTTATTAAATTAAATGTATTTCAATTATAATTTAAAAAGACATCAATGCCGTTTTATCTGATTTCTTCTTCCCACAATACAGTACTCGCCACACGATTGTAAATAATAGTTATAAATGTTTAATGTTTAACTGTTTTTTAGAATTCCCTAACCCATGTACCCTGAACATGTAGCAACACATTATGTACAGAATGTAAATAGCATAAGACTGCATTAAGAGTGAAAATGTATTTCTTGGCTTTTTGGAAATAATTCAATGATGAGGATTAGCAGGTTATTCTTACTGTTTAACATGAAGGTGTCTACAAGGATCCAAATACCATTTACTGCAACAACAGCATCTGCCAGAGAAAATAAAAAATGTTCAACAGTTAATTCATGAGAGGATGTTTGGTACGATATGCTGAGTGCTAATCGCATGCTTTCACAGAATGCAAACATAATGTTTTATGATTATAAGTTTCCATGTAGAACCATAAGGGTTTTTCTAATAAATGTATCCTATCTGTGGCTTGTTATACAGATTCTGGATGAAATTAGAAAATATTTTGATACCATATGATTGGTATTCTTCATGCTGCCCAAGTTATAGAAACAATTTCACCATCTTCTGGCCCAGGTTATGTTCAACACTTGGTCTTAGGCACTGATTGAGATTTTGGCAATTAATAACCAAAAGGTCACTCAATATAAAACACTAGGGTGCACTTTAATTTTATTCTGGACATTTCAAGGAGGGTATCAAACAGAATGACTTATCTGCAGTCACATGCTGGCCAGGACTAATTAAAACACACTCATTTGCCAACTATGAATAAGAAACCCAAGACGTGATGTGGGTTCATTTACCTAACTGAAACCCACAGGTAAGTACTGGGCTTGTAATTTGCATTTAGTGGGTATAACAAAGTTCTGATTTAATTTTTGCCACGGTGGAACACTTCAAGGTGTCGCTCTATAATTTGAGTATTAGTGTACATCACTGGATTTTAATTACCTCTATCCTGTCATTGTCTCTCCCCCTCATCTAGATTACCTCAATTTTCTTCTCACCTCTATTGTCACTGCATTTCTGAAGGAAGACTGTGATTGCAAGACCCTTCAATTTATTTCCTTTGATTATCTGCATGTCACTTCAATGCACTTTGCACTCTAATGCTAGAAATGTAGGTATTTTCAGTTCAAAAGACAAAAACCAGGAAATAAAAGATGACTTACACATTGCATACTGGAAAGCTTTGGATTTTACAAGAATATTAATGCCTGTAACAGAACAGAAAAAAACTAATTAAAGGCCTTAATTTCAAACCAAAGTCTTGCTGAAGAATCTAATACTAAAGTAGAAGGTTTCACAAAACTGGAATATCTCTATTCCAATTAATTCTCACAATTCCGCATTGCATATCCATCACAATCTTCTTACCTTTGAAAATGAGGAAGGGAGTGTGAGGGAGATCATCAAACCAGTGTTCCCCACTCCTCCGCGCCTTAATAAAACACACAGGTCGGTCAGCCAAAACAAGACAAATTAAACTTTAAACCAAGAGCTAGCAGAGACGGATAGAGACATACCTTCCATTTCAAGCCAATTACTTCATAGAAGTTATAAAAATCCTTCAAGCTGGAAAACAGCAAAAAGACAGCATTACTGCAAGGGTAACAGGAATGAAAGCTTGTCTGGTATCTGGGGAAAAATAAATATTCTTCTTAAAGAATGGGTATGTGTCATTGTACCCTGTTTCCAGAGCTGGCTCAATGAGATGATCTGCTCAATTTCACTAGAGCGGACTTATTTCAATAGGACAGGCATTCTGGAGCGATTCCATTGGATCTGGGGTTAATTTCTTGAATGTTTTGAAAAAGAATGAGATTCATACTGCTTCCATGCGTAACTGTTTATGACATTGATTACATCTATCGCAGACTTAATTTTTATGTGAACTAGAAAACTGTAAAAAGGCATAAGCAAGTCTGAGCTTTTTTGTTTGGCAGTTTTTTGTGGGGTTTTTTGTATCTTGTTAAGATTATCAAAAAATGTTTTAAATAAAAAAAAGCCTAAAACAGAACACCCCCTTAAAAATGAGATCCAGGGATTGAGTAATTCCAGCTTGAGGCCTGGCTCACTGCTTTATGTGCTACAATTTGCCGTCTCCATTGTTGATGAATTCCAGCAAAGAAGAGGACAGGGCTGTGTACAGAACAGCCTGCGAAGAAGACCAGTAAGCTATGCATAGGCTGGTAGTGTCTTTGGTAATGGCTTAACCAAGCTCTTCCACTGCCATGGTTAATGGAAGCTGCCTGGCTGCAGGATGAATACTTGAAGCATCTTCTGGGATAAAAAATAATAGTTCAAGACTGAATTATGTCCTGTTGCTTAAATTGAAAAATCACTCAAATTAGTGGTGTGAATGTGAATTATCCACGACTGCCAGAACCAGTCAATTATAAACAAACTCATGTCTCTTCAAAGTTTTGCACAGCAAGACAGCAGGCTTAAGTGTCAAATGGAAACTGTACTCTACAATTTGGTTCAATCAGCCAAAGTTGATTAAATAACACAACTGGCACACCTGGCCGGTGTTGTGTTACATACAGCATGAAAACACTAACGCGTTAATCGGCTACAATATTCAAGAACGGCTGGCAGCAGGGAAGAGGAGTCTCCAGGGTGCAGGTTTGCGACTGGGCAGGGAAGAGGAGTCTCCAGGGTGC